AGACACAGAATAAATTCAGCTTTGTGTCTTTTTCATTGTAGCTGAAGTCCAGGACAAACTGTGTTCCTTTTCAGCTCAGTAACATCATAGCATGCCGCCCAGCTGTATAGAAACTCCTCGTCTTAGTACTGAGGATGAAAAAGTCAGCATAATGAAAATAAACTACCCTTAAACTTGGTTTATATCTGACCCAGATAGACTGCAGGTCATAACTTCTTACCTGAAGTTCAGCTCACCTGACACTCAGACCGGCGGCCACCTTGGCTCTCTCTTCCTCCTGCGTCCCCTTTCCCTCATCCACCTGCTGGCTGCCACCTTGCTAATATTACTGAATCTGTGGAAGCTCCGCGATGCTACCACACGTAGTAACAAATAACGATCTAAATCCCAGTAACGATTAACACGTTCCTGATTTTGGCATAATAACTAGTTACTGTGCTTGTTACAACAACAATAACGTAGTTACTGTAACACGTTACTTAATAACGCGTTAGTCCCAACACTGTTTATAAAGAACACAGGGCTGAATTTAGCAATAGATCTCAAATATGACACTACACATACTACATCCAGAAATGGATCTGCCACCTTTAGAGCAAATTGAATGGAAAATTTTATAGAAATCCAAGATGCAGATGGCAAATGAAGAGATGGATTAACTTCTTTGTGCAATTTTATGACTGTATTTTGTTGAAGAAAGGTTCCTTAGTTCTCAAGATATGGCATGACATTTTGTATACTGAAACACAAACAAACAAACAATCCTACCATGAGCACACCGAAGTATGTGAAATGGTTACAGGAACATGTGACATTACTCTGATCATGTGTCCAAATGGTGTGGCATCCATCTGTACTAAAATCTGAAGTCAAAGTCAAAGAGATGAATGAGATGCTGCCACATTTCAATTACATCAGCTCATTCAGAAATCTATAATGGTGAGTGAAACCAGAGAAATGTCATGCTTGGTTACTCACTGTTTGTTGAAAAATTTAAGAAATGACAGGAGGGTCTCTGGGTTTGCTAAGACAAAAAGAAACAAATAAACAAACAAACAAAATGTATGTTTATATCTGGTTAATATTACACATCTATATATTTCTACTTATGTTTACTGATAAAATCTACACTTCTACTTTTACATGTAACTAAATATTAACTAGATTAAATATTATTACTCTCTCTAAAATACTACATTTTTACAGTAATATTTAATACATCAAAATACACAGTTATTTTGTGTTGTGTTAAATAACAATGATATAAAACTATTGAGAAAAATAGTGGAATAAACAATTAGATTGTAATTACAATTATATTCTGGTTAAATTTCATGGTGATGTTGACAGGTTGCCGAAGTCCCGATATGTTCTTGCCCTTCACACTCAGCATTATCATTCGTCTATCATAAACTTCAAATAAGGCTCCAGGATCACTCTACAATGCAAAACATTGGTCAGTTGGTTTGACTGTTTCTCCAATACAATTTATGTAATATTTTCTCACTGTCCTGACTGTCTGAAAGGAAAAAAAGCAACCCAGTGAGACAGTTAATGCGTAGTGAAAGTCATTTACATCTTAGTAAAAACATTATTTCCTGATGTACCTGCCTGGTTATCTCTAAATCTGTATTATTTACATTTTTGATTTACATTTTGCAAATGGCAAACTACTTACAGAACACTGTGGTTGAGTACCCCTTTCTCTTTCTAAAACATTTTGGTCTGCATAATATATGAACATGGTGACCAACTTTTACTGTTCTGAACATTTTATCTTATTTTTTTAAGAATCAATCCGTGCACTTTTAGCTTTTTAACTCAATTAAATTCAATTTTATTTATATAGCGCCAAATCACAACAACATTCACCTCAAGGCGCTTTATATTGTACAGTAGACCATACGATAATAGATACAGAGAAAAACCCAACAATCATATGACCCCTTATGAGCAAGCACTTTGGCGACAGTGGAAAGGAAAAACTTCCTTTTAACAGGAAGAAACCTCCGGCAGAACCAGGCTCAGGGAGGGGTGGGGCCATCTGCTACGACTTGTTGGGGTGAGAGAAGGAAGACAGGATGAAAGACATGCTTTAGAAAGGATGAAAGACATGCTGTAGAAGAGAGCCAGATATTAATAACAGGTATGATTCAATGCAGAGAGGTCTA